ACACACACACACACACACACACACACACACACACACACACACACACACACACACACACACACACAAACTATAAGCCTAATTCAAGAGAGCACATTTCTATGCACAATAATGATGTATGTGTGAATACAATATTTCAAATGAGCGTTTATTCAGAGGACAAAGACAACAATCAGTGTTTGCTTTCAGCAGGGATTTTTGCGCTGCAGCACCTGCTTCCTCGTCGGGCCGTCATCAGGTCTGCCAGAGGACGCCCTGTAAATCAGAGGTTCATGCTGCTGCGCCCCATTAGCTTTGCCAGATGAATACTCATGGGCACATCTGCTCGTGAACGACAGAGGCTCGATGTRGCTCAGCCCATTGGAACAGACTCCTGCAGGTACAATCTTCTATCATTAAAGCTGCACCTCAGTTTGATTAAAAGATTTGCTTCGTCAACAGAATGTGTTATCTTACTGTTAGAGCTCGGACAAAATTTATTTATTTGAYGTTTTTTTTGTTGGTTAAGCCTCTTCAAATATTAAAATAATATTTTTTCAACATATTCAAAGCTCAAAGAAGTGCAGTTAGATATGAGTTTAAGCTTGTATGAACTAAACTCCCTTAATGTCAGATTTTTTTAAACGCAGTTTGTGATAAAAGATAATTTAATGATTGCTTAGTTTTAATTCATGTTTACGCATCAGTAAGATCAGTATTTTTGATGCACAACTCATTAGCCACTAACAAAGCAACTTGTAAACTAAACATCTGTTATTGCTGTAAATAGAGCTGATATTAAAACAGTGTAAAAGCCCCTGATTAACATCTGATCCAACTGTTTTTTACAGGTACATTAATTTCGCAAAATGTGTTTAGTGTTTACTGCTGGGATTATTTAGCACCTTAAGCCCTAAAGTAACTTTAAAAGTGTTTAAAAAAATCCAAAAATACATCTGCAGCATCTTTATGTTTTTTAATTTCCGTTGATGAAAGACACTTTAATAAAAAAAAGGCATGTCTTCATTTTGTAAACACCAGAATATGATGATATTTAAAACATAAAAAACAATGTATAGTAAAAATCATAACAATAAATCTGTGGCAGAATTGAATCCATTCAATTCAAGTTTATACTTTGCTTTTGCACAAACATAGTTGATGGTAGAAATGTTAGAAACGTAGTTTTGTACCGATCTACAAACAATATACATTCCTGTTTACTGCAGCCACACATAAAAGTTTTTTTTAAATGTTTTTTGTTGAGCTGCTGGATGCATGACAATCCTGACACATCACTGATTTCAATCAATAAAGGTTTTCTAATGAAATATAACAGTAAAAGTACACACTGTTTAGTCAAATGTTACAGTTTTGCCTGATGAACTTACCAAGAAAAAGCAATTTGTCATGCTTACTGTAAAATAAAATACATGTTAATGATGACAATCAGTAAACAAAGTTTAGGCCAGATGTCCTGAGGCTGAACTGAAAAAAAAATAAACTTCAAATGTTCATGAATGTCTAAATCCAACCCTGCTGAAGTGACTAATTTTTCCATGTGGTTTTGTTGAACTCAGAGATTTCCTGGCTGTGTAAACGATCACATCATCATGTTGCTCAKTCAGGTACCAACTAAGCTCGTTTAAGCTCACGCCTCCAAAACCTCTGAACTGTGGTGAGATTTTTTTCCCATCATCATTGTTCCTGCCTGTCTGCTTCTGTCAGGAGGATTTTAGAGGGGAAGTGTTTACACCGTCTGCTACAATGAGGGTAATGCTTCGGCTCTATCTACCTTTTGTTTGCCCAGATTAGAGACTTGTTGGGATTAAAATACCCTCCGATTAGACTCGAGAACTAAACTTTAAAACATAGATGGTATAAACCAGAGGAAAACTCTGCAGATAAATTAACCAAAGAAAACACATAATACAGTGTGAACACTAACTGCTGATTGACTCTGCTGAAATTTGCTGAAGAAGCGCAAAAGACGGAGATGAAAAAGTTGCTATAGAGCAGAAAAGCAGCTAAAAGCTGAATGTAGCAAATGATTAGCTTAAAGCTAAAGGGATAGCTAAAAGCTGAACTAGCAAAAAATAAAAGTATCAAAAAGCTAGCTAAAATTTTTAAAAACCATACTAGCAAAAATGAGCAAAAAAGGGAAATGAGCTAAAGTTAACATAAGGCTATAGCTAAAAGTTAAAATGTTAGCTAGAATTATAATAAAGCCAACTAAAAGCTATATAATTAAGCAAAAGTTTAGCTAAAAGTTAAACCAGCAGAAGAGCAAAAAGCTAGCTCAAAGCATCAAAAACGCAAATGAAGTAATAAGCTGTCCATAAAATGAAAGCAGCATACAACGGAAAACTTAGATTAAATATGTTGAAACAGATTTCAAACAGAAAAATTATATTAAAGAAATTAAAGATATTTAATGTATTTATCTGAGAATAGCATTTGTAAATAAAGTTAAATATTTTTGAAAAWTAAAAGTCATCATGCCCATCTCTTCAATGAGCAGAAAAGTTTGATATAGGAATGGTTGAAACAGCTAAGTATGCAAAAGTAAATAGAATGGAAAAATGTATCAAAAAACTGAATTCTGAATGGACAAAAAATAATATTTTACTTCTTGTATGCTTTAGGAGAAATCATCAGTTAAAAAGAGTATTATTTTGCTTGTATCAAGTTAAAGAAACAAGTTTATATGTATTTACTGAACATGTGACTGTGAGCTAACAGAAACAGGAGCATCAATGCATTAAAATGAGAAAGTCTGACAACTGAGTTACAGCTAATCAGAATTTTTTATTATTATTATTATTATTATTATTTATCAAAGAAAATGTGAAAAATGTTCCCAGCACCTCTGAACAAGAGACACATGGGGGGAAAGTGCAGAACCAAATCCTTGATCTACCAGGTCAAAGATTTGAGGTGTTAGAAATGAGATTGTATTCCTGAAAGTGTATTTAATGTGTGCTAACCCTGTTTTGAGCATATTAAGCTTTACACTGCATTCAGTGGTTGGTTCTTTTCTAAACAAACAAAACAAGGATTAACCCACAGGTCAGTCTGTGCCTCCGCTCCGCACACTTTAACTCACTTTTACTAAGCTCTTAAACATGCAGCTTTGACATTTATATATTTTTCCACCTGAAAAGACACGTTTAACAGCCTTAACACTGAAGTGCAAACAGTTTGTTTAATCCAGCTGAGGACTGCTGAGATTCAGGCATGGAGTGATGCCTAAAAGGCAGCAGTTCTAACTTTAACCTCTTTCACTTTGGGACTTGACAGTGAACGGGGATTAAAAGTGGCTTACCTTTGGTGAAGGTGGATGAAGTCGTCCCCGAGCCGTTTTTTTATTTTATTTTATTTTTTTATTACTTCCCCCGCCCACCCTCACACAGTGTGCTAATATCTCAAACACCCCTGCTGAGCATCCACTCAGAGCTGGTGTGTGGAGAAATGAGGCTGTGCTGCCGGCTGTGGGAGACGTTATCCAGTTCAGCTGCTGCTGTTCAGGGAAGGAGTGAGGCAGCAGAGAGGGAGGGAGAGCAGGAGAGGGAGGGAGAAGAGAGGAGAGGAGGCAGATGGGAGGTGTTCGCACTGGATTGTTCGTGATTACATGACAGTGATAAGGAAAAAAAACATAAAAGGGGGTGAGMGTTCTGTGGGGGCTTCAGGTGGACGTGTGCAGCTGAGAAGGTCAGGATGAAGCAGAGAGCATCAGTTCCTCTTTTTTTTAATCTCCTCGCTGTGAAGTGTCTGCAGCTGCTGAGCAAAAAGAGCAGACAATCTGGAAAGCTTTCAGGAACACTCTGTGTCTGAATCTTTTCTCTTTGTGCCGTTTATATCATCCCAGCAGCGATGAACCATTGGATCTGTGCTCACCAGTTATCATCCAGCACTCCTAGCATCCTGGAAAACCTGCCTACAAGAAGCTCCCCGCTTGGGGATTAGAACTCAGGCCTTGGGTCTGATTGAAACGCCTCATTACCGGGCTGATTAAGCACACTAATTAGCTGCTAAAAAAAAAAAGAGAAAACAGAAGGTTGGCTGAGGTTTGTAGACTCCTCAGGTGCTGTTAAGACAAAAAAGCGAAGACTTTTTGGGATCTCAATCAAACCGTGTTTACCGCAGCACAGAGGAATCTCGCAGAGATGTTTGCGCTGAGAAAGCTGCAGTGATTTAACTCGAGCAATGGATTAGAAACACGMCGGGGAATCCAGATTTGCAGCCGAGTTAATAATTTATTCATAGATTTTATTTAGCAGAGAGAGAGAGAGAATGTTTCCTCCTATGCGCTCGTTGTGTTGGACGTGCGCTTTTAATTATTGCTATTACTGCTCTGTGATTTACAGTCAGGGTCACAGACACACTGTAGGGTTTTAAATTGTGCTAAATTTGAGGTACATTACAGAGAATCGTTGCTGTGAATGATAATTAACTTTTAACCAAGATGTTTTATGGTCTTCACTCAAAACTGTAACTAGAAATGGTTGATTTTCCAATAAAAACTACGTATCAGACCAAGGTTTATATGAGTAAGAAGGGCCACAATATTTATTGATGGACCACGTATTTGTTCAACATTCTTGCACACAAATCCCTGGTCTTGGTAAAGTGCAGACATTTAACCAGTCACATTTGTTTAAACACTTGTAATTAAGAAAAAAACTTGCACAATAAATTGTCCTTGCAAATTTTACAAGCATTTTTACTGCGCGTAGATAAAATACTGTCAAACAGCATGTGAGAAAACCTTTTTAAGAAGAGAAGACTTCTGTGAGCTTCATGCTGGACTTTCCTATTTGACTCATTAGCGCCTCTAGTGTTTAGATATGGAGCTACATGCATCATTATCACTTGGGCAAAGCACAGATGAGTGACAGGACAGGGGCACTTCAGGAGCCCAATCAGATTTCAGATCAGGTCAATCAATGCCTTTATGGCTCCGCCCCTAGAACCGCCTCTGTCGTATCCACCTAATCTCAGACTCAGAGCACATGTTGTGAATGACTCTCAGCTACTACCACACCAAGTTTAGACACAATACCTGCAAAATAACATCCTTGGGTGACAATTACTGCTTCCTACAAAATCAACACCTATGATTGCTGTTTTAAATGTCAGAGCAGCATCTATATGTTCTTCCCTGTAGGGCAGCAGTGAGATAGATGTTCGTCTGACTCACAGAGATCACAAAAGGTCAAGAGAGAACATGCAATCAGGCAGAAAAGGGTTAGATCATCTTCATGCGTTCATGAAGTCATCCCCTGGGCACCGAGGTAAGACAAACAGAGGACTCATAAACTGAACTGTTTGCTAAAAGGGCTTGAAACGATTTTAGATGAAGGTAAATCTGAAATGTTATGCCTCTAAATATCCTTAAAGAAAGCTGCTCCATCTAAATACATCTCTCACTCACACGTTCCTCCTGACTCGTTCCTGATGTTTTTTATTATCTTGTTAGGAGCTTTAAACTAGCTGAAACATGTTTCTTTTTGTCCTGCTTTCATAATGTCTCCATGGTGCAGGAAATTTAAAGTCAGCTTATATATATACATATTTTAAGAGTTAAACTCATGATTTTGAAAGACAGGTTTTAAATAGGGAAGCTCACCTTTTTCATCACAGGTTTGTTTGCCGTCGAGCCATTTGTCCTTCCCCGGCGACAAACAAACACTGGACTGTCTTGGTGATTGGTGGATCTGAAGAACAAGCTTGAAAGCTTTTTAATTAGGCAATTGTTGATGAATGTCACTGTACAGGTTTGATGGAGAAGGCTGCTCAACTTGGGCTAAAAGCACGAGGTGAAAAACGTGATGAGAGCTCAGAAAATGTCAGAGGAGAGAGACAACGGGGTTTTTGAGTTCACTTTGAAATCTCAGCAAACACCAAAATGGATGCACCTCAGTGAATTTTACAGCTGCTGAACTCACATTTGGTGTGGTAGTAGCTGGGACTTACTGCCAGCACATATTACGAACTGATTGCACAAAAATGGTTTCTGGAAGCCGTTAGCTGTTGCAGTCTATCCTGCCTGTCTTTAAACTAAATCTTTCATGAATCACCACATGGATTTTGATAAAACTCAGTGTCTATTGTGATGTTAACAGTGTTGAGGTTAAACTAAGAGGGCGAACAAAAAGACAGCAGGTACAATTCAACAAGTGGAATGATGTAACTGAAATAAAATCTAATTAAATTCAATTAAAATAAATTAGGCCCAGGCTCTTTGTGCGACCAAAGACCCAAAGCTTGAACAGGCTTAAGTATGAGAATCTATGCGTGACAATGGGTGAGCTTACATCTGCTGGGAGGGGTGAAATCTATATTAGAACATCTGGGAGAAGCTAATTAGCAACAGGTGTTGTAAATAAATGAGCTGAGGTCACCAAAGTCATGAAAAAACAGAGCAGGTGACTGAAACGATAGGCAAAATCTAGTCAACGAAAGAGCATCTGGCAGGAACGGGCTGATCAGCGAGCTGGAAATCGAATACAGGGAGCAAGCAATTAAGGTAAATTTAAAAACAGGCAGAAATAACACAACAGAAACGCCACGACAGCCCTGAACTGTGACATCTACAACACAATAATGACTAACTCATCCAGTTTTACAGCAACTTAACGTGGTATTAGCCGAGAGCATGGATACATAAGCAGGACGTTGAAGCAACCACAGATGAGCACCCCCTCTTTCTTAATTTGGTTAATAATGAAGCTATACTGCACATTTGAAATTACCAGGCAAGTGAGTATCCTGACATTTCCTTCCTGCTCTGAAAACACAATAACCTGCTGCTTTTTTCCATTTTTAGATCACATTTTAGTGCCGTTTGGGAACATTTGGCCGTACGTGATAAATACCTTCATATAAAGGTGTGAATATTTATGCTTTATTCTCTTAACCAAAAATGAATAAGGACAAGTGAAGAGAGAACAATTGAGCAACTGATAAAAGGAAACAGTTCAACTATTGACAAAGTGTGACCGCCGATGCACAGAAACACAGAAGGTGAAAATTACCTGCAGAAAAACAGTGAAGAAAAAGCAACCTGCAAGATGGTATTTTTGTCAAGTGTTGACTTTTCCCTGACAGGTCATCTATCTGTAGGGAGAGGAGAACTTTTGAATAAGACCACTTTGAAGCAGAATAAAGCAACCACCACTAAAGAAGAAAAAAAAAGATCACAAGGATTTTACCAGGATACGCCTGATATATTTAATGGACACATTTAGAGACTTTTGATGGGCTCTAAGAGGGAAAGAAAAGTCAGGCCTCAACAGGAAGAAGCAACAGTTCTTGTATGAGCTGCAATCATGCGACCAAGTGCCTCTCTGCTTACCAAGGCAAAGACCTCAAAGCTGACCGAATAATGGACCTGGATCCTTTTTTTCACCTGACTCAAAATCAGCTGAAAACCTGTGGGCTCTTCTCAAACACGGGATTCACAGTGAGGGGAGACAATGCACCTCTGAGGGCAGGATTTGGAAGACTGTGGTCGCTGCTTCAGCAAACCTGAAAGACTCTGTGGCTGGAAGACTTGTGCCGGGGATAAAAAAAAAAAAAGACGTCATTATCTCACAAAGAATGCATTTTAAAGATCAGAACTGGTGCTGGCTTGTAGTCTTTTGCTACTTATTTGTTCAAAAAGGTCTTAAAACTGAAACTTGTGAGTTATAGAAGCACGCATTGATTTTTCTTCGAGACTCGCGTTCCTTCAGCAGTGCAGCAAGTTTAATATTTGGGCTTGTCGTGCAGCTTTCTGATTAAAGACAATTTACTGACAGGAAGAAATGTTGCCGAGGATTCTTGTGGAGCACAGGCGGCCGCCGAGGCAGTTTGTCCGTACGCCCTGACAGCGTCGCTCGTCCCTTTTACACGACGTTTGTCAACGTGGTGACATTCAGTGAGACCGATCGTGTTCCCTCAGCCTGAAACAAAGGCTGTGATTAACTGGTGTGTTCCGTCTGTGCTGATTTACTGCATGTGTTTAGCCAGCCTCGGGGAAGGCACACAGGCCATTAGGCACAGCGCTGACATAAACCCCACCACAAATGAGGTCCTGCTGCTGACTAACTCTGAGGAACCTGGGGTGAAGGAACCTTCAGAGTCCTTGCCCCACAAATCAACATCTCTTAGATAAACTGTCTTCAGGTGAAATAAGTTGAAACATGAAGTGACCAGAATTTTCTCTCCTCTGAGCATAAATGGTTTGGAGATAAATTCAGTAAAAGACATGTAATTTACTTTTTCACCCTTTGCTACACAAAATCGTTTAGTTTTATTTGTGTTCATGTCTCGTATTTTGTCTATATGTTATATGGGTCTTGTGCAATACACCAATGATTAATTGCTTTTTGGTTTTAAGTTTGATTTACCAGTTTTTTTATAGGTTGGTGTGATGGCAGCACTGAGTGAAGGCCCTGTCACACTAGACAACTTATGCCAGCTTATGAACATTTTAAAGACGT